ACTCAATTTTAAAAGTGGGCAAAGGAACTAGGCACTGCGAGCTTATACCTTTGACCCTAGCTACTCAGGAGGCTGAGTCTGAGGATCATGGTTAGAATACAGCCTGAGCAGGAAAGTCCAGGAGACTCTTTTCTCCAACTAAACACCAAATGCCAGGACTGGAGCTGTGGCTCAAGTGGTAGAGCACCAGCCTTGAGGGGAAAAAAAAACTAAAGGACAGTGCCCAGGCCTTGAGTTCAAGCCCCAGTACCAGCATTAAAGAGAAAAAAAATTAAAAGTGGATGAAGGACTTGAGTACGTTTTTCTCCAAAGAAGGTGTACAAATGGCTAATGAGGTCTGAACAAAATGCTCTACATTGTTAGTTGATGAGGAAATAAAAATGATAGACTAAAGGTAACACTTCACACTAGTGAGGGGGGCAGTGATTGTGACTTTGAAAACTGGAAAATAACAAATGTTGGAGAAGATGGGCAGACATCACTGCTGGGGGTATGCACGATGTTGCAGCTGCCAGGAGAGCAATTCATTTGTGATCTAGTGATATCATTTCCAGGGATATAGACAGCACACGTTCACACAAAGCCTGGATATGAATGTTCACAGCCAAAGTCCCTGACATTTGCTACCTGGATAGACAAAATGTAGGATTTTGCTATAATGGAATGATAGCCACCAAAAAGGACAGAAGTCCACATTTGTGTAGTAGCATAAATGAATCTTGAAGATGTCATGCACAAAAGGCCACATGTTGTAGCATTTTGTTTATATCATATGTCTAGAATAACAAGTATATATAGACAGAGCAGGCTAGTACTGCTAGGGACAAGGAAGGGGAGATGGAGGTGAGGGACAGACTACTAATGAATACAGGCTTCTCTTTGTGTTCTTGGAAGGGGTCTAAAATGAGATTGTGATGATGGTTATACAATTAAAAGGCTCTTCAAGTTTCAAGTCTCAAACATTAAAAATAGAGTCAGGGACTGATAGCTCAATGCCTATAACCCTAACTACTCAGAAGAGGCTGAGATCTGAGGATCATGGTTCAAAGCCATCCAGGAAGGAAAGTCTATGAGACTCTTATCTTCAATTAAATCATAGAAAAAGCAGGAAGTGGTAGAGTGCTAGCCTTGAGCAAAAGAGCTCAGAGACAAGGCCCAGGCCAAGTTCAAGCCTCAGGACTGTTTTTTTTTTTTTTTTTTTTTAAAAAAAAAGCTGGCCAGGCATTGGTGGCTCACACCTGTAATCCTAGCTACTCAGGAGGCTGAGAGCCAGCCTGGGCAGGAAAATCCATGAGACTCTTATCTCCAATAAACCAGTCAGAAAACTGGAAGTGGTGCTGTGGCTCAAGTGGTAGAGCACTAGCTTGGAGCTGAAGAGCTGAGGGACAGTGCCCAGGCCCAGAGTTCAAGGCCCATGACCACCAAAAAAAAAAAAAAAGCTGGATGGAGGTAGAGGTGTGGCTTATGTAGTAGAAAGCCAGCCTTGAGTGGAAAAGGCCAAGTGAGAGTAAGAGACCTTGAATTCAAGCTCCAGTATGGGCATCCCTAAATTAAAAGTTAAAACAAAAAAGAAAAGGAAAACAAGAAGCATCCCTAAGGAGTGTGCCTTTCGGCATTAGGGCCCCCTGCAACTCCCCCAGACCCTCTGATCATCCCTCCTCCTTCTGGGAGAGAGGACTGAGCTGCCCACCAGGCCAGCAGATGCCACCTAGCTGACAGGTCAAAGGGCTGTTTACCTTCCAGGAGAGCTAGGTAGCTGTGTAGACAGATGAATTAAGGGGAAGGCCCAGAGCCCCTCCCTGGCCTTCCTTCCTGCATGCCTCTGTCTAGACCCCTCCCTGCAGTGCGACTGCCCAGATGCTCTGAAGACAGCCCACCAACACAGGTGGCTCAAGCTCCTAGGATGTGCTCAGGAGCGGCTTCTTGGTGGCCTTGGGCAAACTCTTGGGTAGGACCTGGAGCTGGTGGTTATAGCATCCTCCCCCATCAACTTCCAAGAAAGGCCTGGTCCTTCTGAGAAGCCAGGCTGAGCAGCAGACAGTCTTTGTGAGGCCAGAATAATGATAAATAACCTCACTGACATTATGGAACCCCAGGACAGGGGCTAATACCCCTCTAGTACTAATAATGTACTAGAGAGCTTTGGGATGCTTCCTATTGATACTCAACTTACAGTGGGGTTCTGACCTGTTAGAGCCATTGTGATTTGAAAATATATATAGTCAAAAATGTATTTAGGGGCTGGGAATGTGGCTTAGTGGTAGAGTGCTGGCCTAGTATGCATGAAGCCCTGGGTTTGATTCCTCAGTACCACATACACAGAAAAAAGTAGGAAGTGGTGCTGTGGCTCACGTGATAGAGTGCTAGCCTTGAGAAAAAAGAAGCTCAGGGATGGTATCCAGGCCCTAAGTTCAAGCCCCATGACTGGCAAAAATGTATTTAGGATGTTGGAGGCATGGCTCAGGTGGTAGAGTGCCAGCCAATAAGCGAAAGTCTCAAATAAAAGTCCTAATCTTGAACAAAGAAAGAAAGGAAGGAAGAAAGAAGGAAGGAAGGAAGGAAGGAGGGAAGGAAGGAAGAAAGGGAAGGAATATCACAACTCAGCCTCATTTGTTCTCAACATGCCAACAGCATCCATGTTAGCCTACATACAGTCCAGCAAAATCATAGCTTAATTGTTTATATTTCACTCTATTTTTACTTTTGTGCAGATACTTGGGACTTGAACTCAGGGCACTCTCCTTTTAGCTTTTTCTGCTCAAGGCTGATACTCTACTGCTTGAGCCCAAGCTCTACTTCAGTTTTTGGTGGTTAATTGGAGATAAGAGTCTCACAGACTTTGCTGCTTAGACTGGCTTTTGACCCCAATCCTTAAATCTCAACCCCTTGAATAACTAGGAATACAAATGTCAGCCACTGGTGCCCATTTTTTAAAATGGGCATGTGAATTCAGGGCCTTGCAGCTTGTTAGACAGGCACTGTAATACTTGAGCTGTGCTCTCAGCCTATTTTTGCTTTTGTTTTCTGGACAGGGTCTCATGTGTTTCCCAGGCTGTCCTCAGACTGCAGTCTTTCCTATTTCTGCCTCCAAAGTAACTAGGATTACAGACTTGAGCACTATGCCTGGCTCACAGCCAGATGTGTAAATAAAGTAGAGAATACCTTATGTAATATATTGACCACCTGATTCTAGAAAGTTCTGGCTGCATAGCACACTGCAGAACACTGCCTGTTACTTTCCTTTGTGATCCAGGGCTGGCTAGGAGCTTTTGCTGCCCACAGTGGTAAGAGAGGGTCAACCTCACAGTTGGTTTATTACCCAGGAGAGAACCAAATTCAAAATTCAAAGTACACCTTTACTGAAAACATACTGCTTTTTAAATTCTATTGTTATTATTAAGGTGTTATACAGAGGGCTGCCATTTCATAACTCAAGTGATGAGTATATTTCTTTTTTTTTTTTTTTGGTCAATGTCACCTCTTGCTTTTTTTTTTTAACCACAAAGTTAAAAAGAAAATTAAATTGACACACTGTAAGTTGGGAACTGTCTGCAAATGCACATATGGCTTCATATCCAGAGCCCAGATAAATGACTTGTATATTAGAGCCCCAAACTGTGTGTATGCTCTTTTGCATTGTCCCTGTCTTCTCCCTCCCTTCTGCAAACACAGTCCTATATTTGCCCCACTCCAGGGCCAGGGCACTGTGTAGGAGAAGCCCCTCAGGGCAGAGCAGCCTATCTGGGATATGCAGGGACTCTGGGGTGGTGGAGCTAGCTGAGAGACTAGAAGGAGAACCACCTCTAACCTCCCAGCATGTTTGCACATGAAAGTTGAGGATCAAGATATGATTCATTGGAAAACAACAAGAACAGGACTCTGATGCTAAAGTTAGGCACTTGCATGTCTATGTCTTCAGGAGAGGTTCTGGCAGTGTTGGGGGTACGGATGGGGGCTTCCCTTCTTCTACCCTTTGGATGACCACTGTGGGAGAACCCCCAGCAAGAAGGAGCAGACCCTGGGGTTCAGATCATGGCACAATCTGGAGTTCCTTTTGTTTGTTTTGGCCACCCTTTGCTTCTTCTTGCCTGCTGGGGCATTTCTGGATCTTTTTTCCCCTAGTATGAACTCAGGGCCTATCATACCTGCTAGGTTTTACCACCTTCAGCCCTTTCTTTGCTCTGGTTATTTTGAGATGGCGTTCCAGTCCCCCCCTAACCTGTTTGTGCCTAGAACTTAATCTTATTTTCCACTTCCTGCCATAGTAGATGATAAGCATATACCACCACTCTCAGCTATTGGATGAGAAAGGGGCCTTGCCTGGGGCTGGCCTCAAGTAGGTAGGATCCCAAGTGTGAGCCTCCTTGCTCTGGCCCCTTTTGTAAGTGTATGCAACAGGATGCTGTGGCTCCAGGATGGGCCTGAGAGTCTACTCTATCTCCCCCCACCCTGCCCCCAACCCAGCCCCATATTGACCTGGGGATGTGCTTCTTAGTGGGTACAGGCTTCCCCCCCCCAGTCGTGGGGCTTGAACTCTGGGCCTGGGCGCTGCCCCTCAGCTCTTCAGCTCAAGGCAAGCACTCTACCACTTGAGCCACAGTGCCATTTACAGTTTTCTGGTGTGAATTGGGGATAAGAATCTCATGGACTTTCCTGCCCGGGCTGGCTTTGAACTGCGATCCTCAGATCTCAGCCTCCTGTATAGGTAGGATTACAGGTGTGAGCCCCCAGCACCAAGCTACTCAGGCTTTTTATCAGTGGTTATTTGGCTGATGGTGGGTCCTGCTTATCCAGTCTGAACCAAGAGAGGATAGAAGTCCCATAGAACTGGCCCTCAGACCTCCCCGGCTTCCTGGATGGGTATAGGAGCTGCACCCAGACAATTCTCCTTCCTTGGAACTCAGCTCAAAGCCTAGTAATGCAGAGATACTTGCTCATTGCTTTTCTGCCCAAGACTCTCCAGGCAGCACCTCAGGTCTTGTTCTCCGATCGTCATGTAGGTGGCAAGATGGGAGCAGAGAACTCACAAGCTGAGCAAGTCCTTCGGGTCCCCCTACCTGGCCTGCTACTCCCTGGGCTGTGTCATCTTGTTCCTGAACTTCTTACGCTCATACTGGTAAGTCTCCCTATCAGACTGGCCACCTGGCGTAGCCCCTGCTCCTGTGAGAATGCATAGCCAAGAGACGGAGGGCCATAGAGAGGCCCAGTGTCGGATGCGCAGGAACTCGACTCTCAAAGACCTGGTGTCATAGCCACCCGGATTTCTCTATTCCTCAGAGGAGGAGCTCTCAGTGACCTCAGGAAGGGGTGGTATGAATGCCACTGAGCCAGGGGGGCTGGGAGGAGCACAGAGGACCAGCCCAGATAACCCTTATACTTTCATCCCTGGAATCCCCTGTGACAAGTGCTGAGATAGGAGGCAGAGGCCCTGGTTAGGATCCTCTAAGGACCTAGCCTTCTTCCTAGGCTTGGACCAGTGCCAGTCAGCCCCTCTGTGTACCCTCTTGCTATGAGCAGGGGATGGAATCTAGGTGGAATACAGATGCTGACCAGCTACCAGGCTCCACAGCCCCTGGGAACATGTTTTTCATCTGTCTTTGTCCACACAGAGAGGAGGCTCAGTGTGCAAGTGAAGACAGTGAGACTTGGCAGGACACAGTGATCTGCCTGGGGCATCACGACTTCATGGGGGGAAATCCCATCCAGTTAGGCCAGAAGGTTGCCAGCAGTGCTACTGCACCAGGCTCATGGGATGAGGATCTCTAGAGGGGAGGGAAAGGGACCTATTTCCCACCCTGCCTCCTGGAGGTGGGTCATCTGTGCAGTGTTGCATCCCGCCTCATAGAAGACAGGTCCTTGGGGCTGCATCAGTAGGACAGAGGACCTGTACCTTCCTGGGAAATGGGGAAAGAAGGCTGTCACTGCTTCCAAGTAGATGTTCCTCATGGGAGCACAGAGGCTGAGCAAGCACAGAGTACTGGACATACATACAGCTCCAGGCCAGGCAGGCATCAGGAGGGGTGGGCTGAGCTGGGCCAGAATCAGATGAGCCCAGTTCATGCCTAGCTGACCTCTGCTCTCTAAGGCCCCCTGATTAAACAAGTTGCCTGGTTGCTCTGGGCCTTTCTTCTATCTGCTAGGCCTCATTCCAACTGTTCATCCTGCTGGGGCTTCACCTGGTTTTCCCTCCTACAATGCAAGAGAACCCCTTCCAGGCACACAGGAGGGAGTGGATGGCTCCCATGCTCTTCACATAGGCCTTGCTTCCTGGCCTAACCCTGCCCCGGGCTCTGTATATCTTCAGCAGGTATAGCTCCTCAGAAATCACCTCCACACCCCTACACCCCACACACGTGGGGCCAGCAGCAGTCAGTGCTGCAGCAGTGGGAGGCAAGTGAAAAGCAGAGTGCAAGAGCCCTCCGTGTGCCTCATGTTACCCGCCCAGCAAACAAGTATTTAATGTATATAAGATATAGAAGAACATGCATGGGGAGCGTGGGCACCAGGGTGATGTGCTACCCACATCTCAGCTGCCCTTTTGGGAATCAGTCTCCACCGAGGCCTGGTATGTGGTGTCTACAGCCTTATGGTTGAACTTAATGGAAGCTGTTCCCCAGAAATGAACAGATTCCTTTCATCCCTAGAGCTCCAAAGCATGGTGCACCCTATTTATTCTTCCCCAGCCCTGCACACACAACGCTTGAGCTGTTCCACTTCTTCCATGTTCCATGCAGTTAGAACATATACTCTCCTGTGCTCCTCAGTTGTTCCTAACCTGCGTGCAACCTTGCCGACTTGTGACCTGGGCCCAAGGGCTTCATCTAAAATGGGGAGGGGCCTGCCTCCTTCCTTTGCGCATACACCCCAGGTAAACCTTGATGACTCCCACCTGGGCCTGCTACTGAGCCAGAGATGAGATGGCTTGTGGTAGACCTAGCCTGGATAATTCAGGTGGGATCAGCTGTTGAGCTAGATGTGGTGAGAAATAGAGAGCCATGGAAAGTTGGGGAAGGGGCAGGGAGGTCAGTGACCCAAGTTGGATTTTGGATGTGTACAGGGTTTCCTTGCCTTTCTGAGCTAACCTCACTTACTTGCCCTGTTCAACTGACAGACCTGCTTCTAGAGGGAGGACTTACCGGGGTGGCAAAACAGGGCAAGTAAACAACCCCGAATGTGAGCCCAGAAGCAGCTGTGCAGCTTCAGATAAGCCCTGTGTCTGCTACCCCACAGCTCGGTGCTGGTAGCTGGATAAGGATGTGGTTGTTTGTGCTGTAAATCAGCCTTCCTCTTCCAGACAGTGGGTGTTGCTCCCTGAAAACTCAGCTGTGAGAGACAGGAAGCCAGCTGGAACCCAGCAGAGCTGCTCGGCAGCTCCTTCCACACAGCAGTGCACACTGCTTCCCCATGGGGCATTGGCTGGGTGGGCTTAGTACACTCAGGGCTTTCCAGGCCCAGGGAACCCAGGGAAGGGTGTATGGTAGAGGCAAGGTGTGATGTGGACAGGCCTCCATGGTGGGGGCACAGTGAATGATGGGTGCAGTGACACCACTACCACGGCACACACCTGTGGCACACACCTATTAAGGCTCAGCTACTCAGGAGGCTGAGGTAAGAGGATCACTGGGAGCCCAAGAGTTCAAGGCCATGATGAGCAATATAGTGAGACTCCATCCCAAATCAAAATGAAATAAATTTTTTGCCACATCTTCCAGATGAGTAGGCCCCTGGGGCCTCCGCTTCTTCCTCTCCTCTTCTTCCTCTTCCTCTTCTTCCTCCTCCGGGCTCCTGCTCGTGTGTACCATGGAGAGTGAGGCCCGCAGGCACACCTTTGGTTGACTCAAACAAGAGCCTAGCATAGTCATACCTTGGCTGTTGGGCTCCCAGCAGGAGGATCTCTCCTTTTAAGCATCACTAGGTTTTGGGGATCTGTCTGTCCAGCAGTCCATGACTTCCTTCTCTGTGTTGAACTTGTCCTAGGAAACCGAGGAAGACAGAAAGCATGCTCATGTCTAGCCACAAGATGTGTGTCTTCCTCCTGCCTTCCACACAGATGCTACAAGTCCCATCTTCTGCTAGGACCAGTTCCCTAGTCCCTGCCTGCACTGCCCATTCCTCCCACAGCCCTTGCGCATTGGCAGACAGGCCATCATCTTCTTCCCTGTGCTACCTAGTGGCTAGTGAGTTGGTTCAGGCATGAGGGTGGGATTGGTAGTTAGAGGAAGGGCTGGCAAGAAAATCCTGTTGGGGCAAGCTCTGCACCCCACAGCACCCTGCACCCTCCTCCTCCTTCAGTCCCCACCTAGAGGTATGTGTTCTCCATGTGTTAGAGTACACATAACAAAAGTTACCATTTTAACTACACAATGTGAAGGGCTGGGGATCAAACCCAGGGCCTCACACATGCTAGACAAGTGCTCTACCACTGAGCCATACCTCCAGCCTCTTTTCTGGACATTTTAGATGTGTCTGTTCTCACTTATTTTCCCAGAAAGATGCAAGCCGCAAAGGACAGGGACATTTGTTTTTTTTTTTTTTTTTTTGGTCTGGTCGTGGGGCCTGAACTCTGGGCCTGGGCACTGTCCCTCAGCTCTTCAGCTCAAGGCTAGCACTGTACCACTTGAGCCACAGCACCACTTCCAGCTTTTTTTTTTCTGCTTATGTGGTGCTGAGGAATCGAACCCAGGGCCTCATGCATGCAAGGCAAGCGCTCTACCACTGAGCCACCTTCCCAGCCCTGTACAGTGGGCATTTGAACCCAGTCAGGGTCACAGCTAGTTCAAGAGACCACTCAGCAACTAGCCTGCCTGCCCAGCTCTATGCCACAGCCCCGGCAGAGGCTGGCAGGTCCGAAGGAGCCACTGCTAGCTGGTCTTTGCTGGTTAGTGGTTTGGAGGCCTGGCAAGAGGAGCTTGTGAGGATGGTTATTGGAGGCAGATGGTGCTAAGACAAGATTCAAGGGGGCAATTAATACAGACCTGTTTGCCCTGGCTGTTGGCCCAGTGTGGGGAGGGAGTCTGATATGTGGTGGTGGGGCATCTGTTTAAACCCATCCCCTAACCAGCTCCCTTCCTCCTGCCCAACAGGCCTGGCTGGATCTAGTAGTCTGGGCTTGCTGCCCTGTAATTAACCCACAGGACTTTGCCTATGTCACACATAGGAGATAGCTGTCTCTTCCCACCCCCAGCTTTTGCCTGGACAGAGAACTTCTGACAGCTAGAAAATTGGAGAGGGGAAAATGTAGGCATATTAGACTTTTCTGGACCCTAGAAAAGGGAGAAGGACATGGCTTCATCTCAGTCATTGAGGCCAGAGTGGGGCTCAGGGGCCAGGTAGTTCTGCAGCTGTGAGGATAGGAATTGGACGTGCACCCCACCCCCACCCCCAGGAGCTGCCCTCTGGCCTGAAGCCCCAAGAAGCAGAGCAGCCTGGGGTTCCCAGGCCTAGGAGGGTGCAGAAGATGGTGTGCGTGCGAATCTGCAGGCTCTGTGTCCCCTGGAGGCTATGCACTGGTCATGGGGAGTCAGAAGAGAAACCCTTGGCCTGACTCCTGCATGTCATACTCCCCACCTTTTACCTCTTACCTCACTCGTGACATTACACAGACCCTGGACTGTAGGTAGGTTTTGGAAACACTTGGAGGCCTGCCTGGAATTTGAATTGCATGGGAGCCCCAAAATCAAATTTCAGGTAGATTGATGGGAAGGGAACTGCATGGATGAATTGCATGGGTCATTGTTTATTGTTTTGTTTGCTTTTTGGCCAGTCCTGGAGCTTGAACTCAGGGCCTGGACACTGTTCTTGAGCTTCTTTTGCCCAAAGCTAACACTCTACCATTTGAGCCACAGCACCACTTCCAGCTTTTTCTATGTATGTGGTACTAAGGAATCAAACCCAGGGCTTCATGCATGCTAGGCAAGCACTCTACCACTAAGCCACATTCCCAGCCTGGGTTATTGTTTTAGTATTTGTCCACTGGAATATGAATTAGAAGCCTGTCACACATAGTCTTGCCATCTGAGTTGAAGGAGAGAAAGCATAGGCCAGGCAGGCCTGAAGCTGACATCACGCAGACGCACTAGAAAGGCTGAGTTTGGGAAGTGTTTTCTTACAGTCATACACAGGAACAAAGGACAGGCATGTCTCCAAGCTGTGGAAGCTGTGGGGCCATATGCATGTTGCCTGGTGTGAGGTTTCCGGGATTTCAGGAGAGCGGAACACAAGTATCCTCAAGTCACATTGGTGACTGAAAGTTCAATCTAAGTTTTAAAAATAGCCCCTGAGACACATAAACCAACCTCCACCCACTTCCAGCCCAGCGCAGAATATTTCCAAAGGAAATCGCTCCTATTACTTCATCTGCCACTGCGCGCATGGCCACAGAGCTACTCATCCCCTGTTAATTCTGCCTGTGGAATGGACTGTGCTTTCTTGGCTCAATGATGACCTGGAACAGTGGCCGCCTAATTGGGCATCGATTCCAGTAAACCTGCCGTGTGTCACCGAGCATGTGTGGCCCTGAGCCCACATTAGGCCACTAGGGAGGAGCTGCTGCTGGAGTAAATAGACTCTGGAGCAGATCTATTGAGCTCTGGCTGGACCCTGACCTTGGAGGGAGATTGAGCTCCTTCAGCTAGTAGGGAAAAAGAGAACTGAGAGGTTCAGCCCTGGGCTGGAGCCACAGGCAGAACTGGGGAGAGAAGCAGGCAGCTAGCAGGCCACTTTTTGGGTCTCTTCTGTCCACCTACTGTCTGTCCTTGACAGGAATCTCCTTCCTTCCAAGCAGGATGGAAATGTGCTGGGCTTTAGTTTCAGCCTTGTAGAAGTAAGAAGCTCCTCTTGTATTGTCTGTCTGCTTTCAAAATGCATGTGGAAGGCTGGTGGTTCATGCCTGTAATCCTGACTACTCAGAAGGCTGAGACCTCCGAGGATCATGGTTTGAAGCTAGTCAGGGCAGACAAATCTGTGAGACTCTTATCTACCGTTAACCATAAACAGCTGGAAATGGAAAGTGGCTCGAGTGGTATAGTGCCAACCCTTAGTTCAAGCCCCAATACCAGCCAAAAAAAAAAAAAAGGTGTGTGTGTGGGGGGGGATGTAGGTGGATCCAAGCAACAGAATGAGATGCCTCCATGTGGAATAGCAAACCTAGGCCTAGCAGCTAGGCTGTCTTGGTCCTCTTACCCCAGGGTAGGAGGAATCAGTTTAGGATCTCCCTCCAAAATGGCCCTCTAGCCTCTAGGCCCTGGCCTGCCCCAGCTTTCACCGTGGTTTTGCAGCCTGGCTGACCTGTGCTCTGCTCTCCTTCACGTAGGCAACCCGAGTTCCTTCTAAACCCACCAGGTCCCAGCCTCAAGGCATCCAGCCTTGGCCATTCCTGTTTCTGAAATATTCTTCCTGCCCATTTCCCCTTTCCCCTTGCTAAATTCTTCCTTCAGCTCTCGGCTGAAGCAGCTCTTCCTACCTTCAGCCCCCCCCGCCCCATACCACTGGCTAATAGCCAGTGGTCAGTATATTTCCTTTTCCTATAGTACGCGCTTCCTCTTCCAGAGTCTGCTTTGGCTTACTCCTGTCTACAGTCCCAGAGCTGTGGACTGCTTCATGTGGGCAGCCACTCAGCAGCAATGTTGTACAAGGAGGCAAGGGAGGAGGCACCATCACCTCTCAGAGGAAAAACTGAGGCTGGGGACCCAGGTCTGTTGGAAGCCCATCTCCCTCTTCCTCCAGGAGCTAGCACTTTCCATGTGGTCATTGGGGACTCTGGAAAACTCAAGTCAGGCCTCCTGCCTTCTGTTCAGGCAGATGAAACCCGGAGGCTGGCAGCCCGGGTCACCCAGGCCCTAAGAGCCTCACACACACTTCCCTCCCTGGGCTCTGTTACAGTGTAGCCAAGGAGCTGTGTGTGACTTCATCCTCAGCAGGACTCAACCCTCGACCTGGCTGGGCTTCTCCTTTATCGTTCCTACCCCTTAATATTTGCAAAGGGGACAATGGGGAGGTGCTGGGACCAGGGATCCAAGCTGCGTGGACCTCTGCAGCAGGGTCTGCGAAGTGGAGAGTGCTTGGGTTGCTCTGCTGGCCAGAGGGCTGGACCTGGTTGTGGCGGCTGTGACCCTGAGCCAATCCCAGCAGGGTGACCCTGAGCCAGGGCAGCAGCAGCAGTGAGGGAAGGCGGTGGTGGGTGGAGAGCCGGGGATGTGGGCAGCCTAACCAGTGGCTGGGTTTGCCCTGGCATCATGTGCTGCTGGGGGCAGGTCACCTGCAGGCTTCTGTCAGTGTTTGTTCCCAGGCCTCTGTTCGCTCTTCTGCTCCGACCCATCTGCTGGCCTGTGTCGGGTGCCAAGGAGATGCCTGGGGAGATGAGCCAGCAGGGTAGCTGTAGGGAAGAGGTCCAGGGGGATGATGTTTATGTAGCTCAAGAATAAAGTGATAGCAACCTGCCCTTCCCAGTGAGTGGGTGCAGGAAGAGAGTAAAGGAGTTCCATCTGGAAGAGCCTAGCCAACAAAGATCACTGAGATAACGGTGGTGAATGGAGAGGTGAATGGATGGGTGGGTAGAAGAATAGATGGGTATGTAAGTGGATAGATGGATGGATAGGTGGATGGACAGAATGGTTGGATGGGTAGATGGATGGGTGAGTAGATGCATGGTTGGGTAGATGGATGGGTAGGTAGATAGGAGGGTAGATGGAAGAGTAGTTAGGTTAGCTGGGTTGGGTAGGCAAGTGGGTAGACAGATGGGTAGGTAGATGGGAGGGTGGTGGATAGAGAAGTGGATGGGTGGGTGAATGAATGAATGAATGAATGAATGGAAGAATAGGGATGCATAGGCAGGTAGGTAGGTGGGTATGCAGCTGGCTGTCTAAACAGGTAGGTGGGAGGGTGGGTGGCTAGATAGGTAGATGGAAGTATAGGTGGGTGGACAGGTAGGTAGGACCAATGGGGGGTGGCGAGCAGCCATTGCCGGGAGGAGGCTGGTACAGAGTGAGTGTAAGCAGCTGCTCTGTGTGAACAGGACAGCACCAGGGCTGTTCTAAGCGTCACAGTGGGTAGAGTGGGAAAAGCGTGGTTTGCACACGCATGTTGGCCTCACACATCCTGCCCTGTGGTGTGCCCCTCCGGTCTGCTGAGTGTCATTCCTCTCACCAGTACCCACTCCCTCCTAGTAAGGCTCAGACCCACAGCCAGCCTGCTCACCTGCAGGCCCCCTTTCACCACCACCCCCTCCTCCCCCATGCAGGGGTTCACCTGGAGAACCTGACTCCCCACACCTGTTCATCTGCCATCAGTCATAGACCCTTGGCTCAATCTTTGAGCAAGACCTTCAATCATTTGGCCCAAAGGAAGCCCAGCAGAGGATTTTAGAGGTTAAGGGGGACATAAAGGGCCTTTGAGGTAACTTAACACTCAGGTCAGCTGCCCTGGTGTGACCTTGAAGCTACCGGAGCAGTGCGGAGCCCAGCCTCAGACCATGCATCTGCTCAGAGATCGGGGTTCCCATAGCTACATGGGCTCTCAGTAGGCACAGGTTGCACGTAAATCAGCCCTTCTGGCTTCTCTTGAAAAAAATCAAACACCCTTGCAGGCCTGGACTCTCCTATTTCTGTCCCTTCCCTTGTGGCCGGGACAACAGAGCAGTGCTCTGCTCAGACCCCACTTGCAGTCTCCTGAGCTGCCTTTGAGTGGATGAGCCCTGGGCCAGCTATTCGGAGAAGGGCAGACCCCTGAGCCATGCACTGTGACATGCTGTCTCTCCCTGTCCCCCACCCACAGCTTCACACAGGCAATGTTGAAACAGCCCAAGATGGAGGGCCTGGATAACCCCGCTGCCTACTGCCTGGGCCTTGTGCTCGTGGGTGCAGGTGTCGTGTTTGTGCTGTCCAGCTTCTTCGCACTGGGGTTCACCGGAACCTTCCTAGGTAAAACCCTGGGCGGGAGTCACCTTGGGCAGGTACACTGGAGTTCAAGGCAGAGCAGGGCACAGTAGCTACCACCTGCTGTCTGTGACGTACCCTGAGGAGCTCTGCAGACCCAGCATCTCCATGGTTAGAACAGCAGTCTGGGTTCTACTGTCTCACCTGGCTCTGAACTCCTGGTTGGGGACAGCTCCTCTTATGGGCCTGTGGGGCAACACTTACTCCATTGCAGAAAGCTTCCAGGCCCTGTTTGCCTGGAGAGGTGAGCCACCCAAAGGCCCAGCAACAAGACCCGCTGTCCTCACAGCCACCCCTGGGTCTGCCCTAGGAAGCTCCCAGTACCCTTGGCTGCCAAGCTAGGTGGGATCTTGGTTTGCTGTGTCTGGGCCACAGGCAGGGCTGCTGCAAGTCTAAGGCAGGATACAGGAATGAGAGACAATGTCTTTTCTCCATTCCTTGCTGCTTGTGGTGTTTTTGTCTGGGAAGACCAGATGCCATCTCACTTTACAACAGTAGGAAAAGAGGAGAGGACACCAGCAGGGGAGGAGAGCTAGGGAGGTCTGAGAACAGACATGGAGAGAAGGTGGCAGCTGTAGTCCACTAAGGGAGCCCCACACAATGCCCAGGCTGACTGCATAGCACAGCTGCCTGGCTGTCCTCAGCCCAGCCTCCCAATGTACAGGCTCAGGGCTCTGTCGGGGGTACTCAGGAGCGCAGCAAGCCGTGTTTGATTTCAGCTTTCTGGGACTGTGGCTGAAGGGCAATGCTTTGCCTTCAGGTAAGAACCGACCTGTTAGAGAGGTACAAGCCTGGGAAGTAGGAGATGAGAGCCCTTGGACCTGCCAGGTGCAGGCAGGATGTGGAAGAGAGAGAAGGCAGCCAGAAGAGCGGCAGACTTGCCCGGAGAGGTGGCAAGGACCCTGGCTGCAGTGACTAGTCGAGGGCCGAAGGTCAGGCTGAGGCCCTGAAGTACATGCAAAGGCTGAGATTTCATTCCCAGAAAACTGGGAGCCCTGGGAGGGCAAGGTAGAGTGGAGACTGCTAGGACAGAGGGCAGAATTAGAGAGGGGCAAGGAGCAACAAGGAGGGACTCCCCGGGATCTGGGATGGGATGGCAGGATGGCAGGACTCCCAGACCAGGGAATGGCAACCACGGCTTTGGGACCACCCTCTCCCATAGACATGGCCTAGAAACTCCAGAGTGGCCCAGCAGTCTTGGGATGTAGAGCAGAGCAGTCACACCCCTGTGAGTCAGAAACCCCGAAGAGGGGTTTCTACGCCACCCGCCGCCCGGCCCCACTGCCCCGCTTCCTGCTTCCTGGGAAGAAAGAGCCTCCCAGCAGTCTCGCAGGTGGCTCCTCAGGCCCCCTGCATCTTTTGTCCCCAACAATGGGCAGCACAGCACCCAACAAGCCCCTCCTGCCGGTGGCTACCCATTGTAGGCTGTCTGCCCTACTTTCTGCCAGGATGGATGAAGTGCCATTGTCCTTCCAGCCTGGCAGGAGACAAAGGAGGGAAGGCTGCGGAGAGGAGGGGCGCAGCAGCGTCCCTTGTTGTGCGGCCCTAGCAGGCCACCTCTTCCTGCTGAGAGCGGCCATCGTGGCAAGGCCTTGTTACTCTGGACGGGTGGGTGGCTGACCTGCTGTCTGGTGGTCTCTTCCCACAGTGTCAACTCTGGGCTGCCAGGCGGGAGACAGTAATACTGTGGCTGATCTCCCAGGACTGTGGTGGGCAGGCCTGGAAAAGAGGGGACCGAGCTACCCTTAGCAGCCAGCTTGCCCTAAGGGTGAAACCAAGACCCCTAGGGGTGAGCAGCTGACCGGGGGAGGAGGGAGGAGATGGGGCAGGCCTGCTTCTGGAGGCAAAGTTGGGCTGAGGCTCTAAAAGAGGGAGAGGTGCCCATGAAGGAAAGGAATTCTGTACAGAGAGCAGGGAAAGGCATCCCAAGAGAGGGAACAGAAGGTGAAAGGGCACAGAGGTGGGAAGAAGTGGGGGGAGGTAGCTGGAGGCTGGAAGCAGGTGGTGGTGTGAGGGGCAGAGCTCAGTGCCCCAGCCCCTGGGGACTCTCTGACCCACTGTGTTACTGAAAGCCCTTGCAACCTGCTTAGAGCCTACTGGGGGGCCAGGACCCTGTCTCACTCCCATGGGGAGCCTCCCTCAGCTACAGCGTGCCTCTGCGGACACATGGTCAGGTGACCTGCCCACCCTGCCCTGCTCCATCCACAGGTGACTACTTCGGGATCCTCAAAGAGGCCAGAGTGACCACATTCCCCTTCAACGTCCTGGACAACCCCATGTACTGGGGGAGCACCATCAACTATCTGGGCTGGGCCATCATGTGAGTACCAGGCCTCCTGCCCCACCCTGCTGGCCACCTGGGACCCCAAGTCAAAACTAAGCCTTCCCCCACTTAACATCCTTCTTGTAGTCTCTGGTCAGTGAACGCCTCTATCTACATGCTACACATGTATGTGTATATACACACACACACACACAGACACACACACACACACACACACACACACACACACACTGTCTCCTCTACTGCCACCACACCTGGGCCTTCCAAATTCAGTTTGAGACAAACCCTTCCTCCAGGAAGCCCTCCCTGACTGCCTCTACTCCTAGTCCCCTGTGTTGGAATTGGTGATTAGCAGCCCATCTTCACTTTGAGGTCATGAGTCCTTTCTGCATCCCCGATGTGTGCCCAGTGACAAGCACCCCAGGCTCAGAGTGGCCAGGCCAGGGCTCTCACGAATTAGTGGCACCCTGAGTTGCTTCACACTGGCCATGTGGTGTTAAAGACAGCTGCTTGTGTTGGGGACGGAGTCTCTATCTGAGGACTCGTTAAATATGGGCCATTACCCTGCCTCCCACAACCCATCTGTCTCCTGCCTCCCAGGCCCTCTGATGGGGCCTGAGCACCCAGACATGGGACCATGGTAGGCCAAACAAGGGATTCCTTGGCAAAGCTGGCACAAACCCCAGGATTTTTCCTTCTAGCCCTCTAACACAGCATGGTTCACACTGGGCTTAGGGTCCTCATGTGCCAGCAGGGCCATCATCCCTACCTGGTGTGCTAAGAGATCCAGCGAGACAGGGTAAGAAGGGAAACTTCAGGGTGCACACCCTTCCTCTACAGACCCCACCCCACTCCACCTCCCCACCCCACAGCGGAGGACTGAGCTAGCCTTGACTACTGCTGGCTGGGAGCTGAGAAGGTGGGCACCCTGCTCACTCTGCTGGCGTGGGGCATGGGCACGTGCGACTGTGGGAAAGCTGGCACCACAGCCCATTGTCCCCAGGTTCTTCTTCCTCTCTTCTGGGATCTTGGATCAAGGTAGGAAAGGCTTTTAGGACCAGTCACTGTCTTAGTACGAGGGGTGGGGGGTCTGCTTCAGTGGGGAATCATGAAAGGAAGTAAAGGTCTGTCAGTCCAGCCCCATGTGACAGATGGAGAAACAGGCTGAGGTCTGAACTCACCCCAGCATAGCTGCATGTCTGGAGCAGAGGTAGCCTTGGTCCCCAGTTCCCTGGCTCCTAGAGCACAGCTTCTTGGCTTTGTTTGCTTGCTTTTTGCGTGGGTGGACTTTTCAGAAACAGGAAGTGATCCGTGGGATCAGGTGGGCCCCTGGTGACTAAATGCTCACATGCCAGCCAGCATGGCAGGGTTTGGCGTTTTCCTGGGGATCTCCAGCCCCCAGTCAGGTGGCTGATCTGAGCCTGGAGCCTGTCTGCCAATAGGCATGCCACAGGAAGTAGGCTGCCCAGCATGGACTGGTCAGGGTGGACCTGCCCCACCAGCGGAACCTCCCTTCAATGTCTCTCACAGCCCCATGTGTTCTCAGGAACCCTGTGTGGCTAAGACTATGGCTGAAGGACAGGCTTCTCACAGAACCCTTGCCAGGGGCCACATTCCTCTCCCACCAGGAGGGATAGGGATCAGTCACAGGTTCAACTTGGCCACACACACACACACACACACACACACACATGCACACACACATACATACACACACATCCTAACAGACTAGGACATTGGTTTTGAATAGGATGAAGAGGGTTGAATCCCAGCCCCAAATTCCTTCCACTGTTTCAACTTAGTCTATGAAGAACGCTCTACTGCACCTGTAATCCTAGCTACTGGGGAAGCACAGATAGAAGGATGATTGTCTAAGGCTGCCTAGACAAAACCTCAAGATCCAGTCTGAAAAATAAAGGAAAAAGCAGAAGAGCCTGGGGAATAGCTCAAGTGGTAGAGTGCCTGCCTAGCAGTTTTGAACCCCAGTGCCACCTCCCCAACCACACACACACACACACACACACACAAAAGAAGTCCTCAACAGGTGTAAGGACAATGAGGACAGAGTCCTGATTTGCAACCTGCTGAACTCTTGGGGCTTGTTTTTCTGTGGAGACCTACAGCTGAAACCAGCAAACTCAATGCAGGGCCTACCCCCTCATGGAAGTTGCTAGGGTCAGATCCATCCCTGAGCATTGTGTCTCTCAAGTAGCTTTGCTTCCTCTCAAGTCTGGAGGACTCTGCCACAGTGCTCTAAGCCAGACACTGTTGGTTCAGGCCTGTCACCCTCGCTTTGTGGGAGGCTGAGAATGAGAGGATCAAGTTTCTAGGCTGACCCGGAAGAAGCTGGGTGTGGTGGCAGTGCTTGTCAGCCCAGCTCCTATGGGAAGTCTAAAATAGGCAGATCATGGTCCACACACACACGTCCTGTCTCACAAACAATAAGCACGAAAGAGGGCTGGAGGTTTGACTATAGTCATGAGTGTGAATCAGCTCAAGCAAACATGAGTCCGTGAGTTCGAATACAAGAACTGCCACCAAAAAGGAAAAAAAAACATCACAGCCCTTCAGGATCATAGCAGGTCCTCTCCTATGAGGGGCCAGCCTGTCTTCTCCCTACTCCTTGCCATGTGTGACTCTGACTTACGCAGGCTTCTTGTCTACCCCAGAAGGGTCTTTGGTTACATCCCCGCTTTGGTTACACTGCCACATCTCCATGTGCCAGTGGAGCTGGCTCAGGGGCCGTGGTAAATTGCAATGGCAGCTGGGCTATCAGGAAGGTGAGTTTCTTGTTCTGTGTTGTGGAGAGGAGGGGTCTTGAGCCTCTTATTGCCCACAGAGAGGATACAACTACAGCCTAGACTCGCCTTTGCTGTCTTTGGGCCTACTCTGCCTCTGCCAGATAACAGACTAGAGAGTGTGAGGTCCAGAAAGCTGTTAGGTAGTGGGCAGGGAAGAATCTCCACAGGGCACACATGTCCTTTTGCCCTCTGTCCTAGGACAGGGCAAGGATAGCAGAGTCCCCTGTGGCTCAGAGGCCTGGCTCCAGCCATGGCCCCGGGGTTCTGGCTCTTCCTGCTGATGTGGACGTGGTTGTCCAGCCCCTGCAGGAGCACAGATCCAGAGGTAACCATAGAAATAGATTGAGGGCCAGCTTGACAGCGGCTATTTCTGGAAGCCTGAAGCACACGCGCGCGGACTCCTCAGTGCCGTCACTAACAAGCTGCCTGTATTTGTCCACACAGCAAGGTCAGAGACTGGTCACCAGCAGAGAGCTATGACAGATGCTCTGCCCAGCTCTGAGCCTACTGCACACACGGCCTGGGCTTCTTGTCTTCTAAGTTAGGGCTATTCAGGTTCCTGGAGCCCATACTGCCCAGGCCTGGCAGGTAGGCCAGGCACGAAGCCCTCACCAGGACTGGGGAAGGGAGAGATCAGGATGTTGGCCCTGGGGCTGCACCCATGGACAAGGACCAGGGATCAGGTGGCAGAGCTGCCCACAGGACCTATATTCACGAGACCCCTTTCCAGGAAAGCACGAGTCCAGGCACCGATGACTATACTCCTAGCTACTCAAGAGGGTGAGATCTACTGACTGTGGTTCAAAGCCAGCCCAGCAGGAAAGTCCATGAGATTCTTACCTCCAGTTACTCACCAACAATCTGGAAATGGAGCTGTGGCTCAAGTGGTACCAACCATCTGCAAAAAAGCTAAGGGACAGTGCTCTGGCTGAGTTCAAGCACTAATATAGACACAAAAAAAGAAGCAAAGCAAAGCACATGGACACATGGTGTCTGGTGGGCAGAGAAGCATCTTCTGCTGCTTAGCTGCCTCCTGTGCCCAGAATAGCTGGATGGCAGGACTGTCCTGAGACGCTGAGCTCCAGCTGGAGCTCAGGACAAGGAGTCAGGGTCTCTGCTGAATCCAGTGCTCATGAGATCAGGATCCTAATGATGAGACCCTCACTACGAAGCCAAGCTCAGTCTCTGCTTAGCCCAACAGGGGCTGCACTGTCAGCCTTTCAGTGGCAGGACAGGGCTAGGCTCCCTGACCACTGTCTGTCTCTGCAGGCACGCCAGTCCTACGGGCCTGCTGCTGACGGCGCTGGTAGCCCTGGTCTACGTGGTGGCCGTCCTGTATGAAGAGTGAGTAGGGGCTGTGACAGGGTGAAGGGCGTGGGCATGGCAGCGGAGCTGAGCCAGCCTCTCCTTTGGAAGCTCAGCCAGGTGCCCCACACACCTGGCAGCTATGGGACTGGGTCGGAGGACAGCAGCAGACAGTGGCTCTGTCCTCTCCAGGCCCCCAGTCCTGTTTTCGGAAGGCTTCAGGCCGTTCTGGGGATGGTGGGGCGGCGAGTGCCCTCTCTTCTGCGGGAGAGGTCGTTTGTGTTTTAGTGGCACAGGACCCGGGACGGGCTGGAGTACGTGAGGTACTGTCACCTAGTTAACAAGGCCTTCTCCAACCCCACAGGCCCTTCACTGCAGAGATCTACCGGCAGAAAGCAGCCATCAGGTCACACAAAAGGAGCTGACTGGGCGGCCGTGGACCCATCCAGGGCCCTCATGGCCTCTCAGCCCGCGCCAGGCTCCCAGCTCTGCTCAGGGAGAGCGTTGTTCCCTGCTCCTGGAGCACGCCTGGCACAGGCCACTCCAGTGCCTTGGAAACCACTGCCTTGGGGGCCCCAGGCTGCTGTGTGGCCATCTCGCCCCCCTGTCCTCAGTGTGCCCCATTTACCAATAAAGGCCCCCCGACCCCAGCACCCTTTCTGTCCATCCTTGTCCATGGGGCTTCAGGAGGGCAGGGCAGGGGAAAGGGAGACCAGCTGGCCTCAGTTCTAGCTCCCATTAGAACCTCTCAGAACTGAGTGGTGGCACTACCTTCAAAGAAAAGGGACTCGAAAGGCCTCAACAACTGACCAGGCCCACAGCCCCTTACCCAGGTAGCAAGCAACCAACTTATAAAGAGGAAAAGAAGTTAATTGGTTGATAGTTTCAGAGGTTCATGGTGGGAGTGGATAGTTGGCCTCACCTTATGGCCAGGAAGGAATGAGAAAATCTGGAAGGGATCAGGGTCATACAATGACCTTCAAAAACACACACCAAAGCCAGGCACCAGTGCCTCACACCTGTAATCCTAGCTACTCAGGAGGCTGAGATCTGAGAATTTCAGTTCAAAGCCAACCAGGGCAGGAAAGTTCCCTTGAGATTCTTACCTCCAATTAACCACCAGAAAAACAGAAGTGGCACCATGGCTCAGTGGTAGAGCGCTAGCCTTGAGCTGAAGAGCTGAGGGACAGTGCCCAGGCCCAGAGTTCAAGCCCCACAACTGATCCAAAAAACATGTGTGTGCGCGTGCGCACACACACACACAGAAAAATAACCTAAAGACTAGGCCCTACCTTTTCAAGGCTCTACCAACTTCCCAAAACACCATCCTAGGGACCAAATAAAACATGAGCCTCTGGGGGACATTTGACTTCCTAACTAGAGCAGGTGATAAAATCTGCCGTGGTCCTTGCTGAGTGAAGACTCAGCAGAATATCAAGGTGATGCAAGGAGTCAGATGGAGAGTTGAACATTGTGCCTCACGTCTCTACTGCTCTTATAACAAGTCATGGTCCCATTAGACTACTCTCCCCCTTAGGACCTCATTCAACCTTTATCATTTCCCAAAGGCCCCATCTCCAAACTCCATAGTTGACTAAGTTTCCAGCCTTTAATACCTCCCAATGGGGATTGCACTGCAGCATGCCTGAATTTCACGTTTAAGCCACCCTGCTGTCTCCTTCCTTTTCAGTACTGAACAGTGTTCTACTGGGTACGAAGACCAAATCTCTGCACATATTCATTCATTCATCCATCAGCCAGTAGCCACTTGGGTTGTTTCCACCACTGGGTTGTTGTAAATAATAAAGTATATACTAGTTTCTGATTTCTTTTGCACCTATACTTAGGAGTGGAATTGTCTGGCTGTATTTGACATATTGAATGCCCTGTAGACTTTTTTTTTTCCATGATGTCTACATCATTTTGCTAGCAGAGTCTAGGTGACCTGGCCCAGATGGCAGGCAAATGACTGAGCACAACATCTGCTCTAGGATCAGGTCTGTCCTCATACCTACTTTCTGTCCCTTTAACACACACACACAGTCAGTGTGAAGAAGAGGGTGGTAGCTCCCAATATATCCAGGAGGGCTTCCTGTGGAGATCCTTACCACACTGCCCCCAACAGTGGCTTCTAGAGTCTTCTGGCCAAGCCACCTGTAGAGCCCTGGGACAGAGTTTTCCTTCTCTTGGCTGCAGCCTTCCCTCTCAAACTGTGAACCCTCTGAGGTCAGCTTATTTATGGTCTCGTTGGGAGACTGTACCCAGCTCTGGGAGCCTTAGCACCCCCATCTGTAAAATGGCCATCTGAGTCTCCTGCCTGCCCTGTGCATAAAGCAGGTGCTGCCCAGGGGGCTCCTCAAGGTTTCTCAAATCTAGAATCTACTTCAGGGCCTGATGGCCTCCGGAGGCATCTGGCCTTCCTGACAGTGTTCTAGTTTCTCTCTGCTGCTAGGCAATGGGAGCTCCCTCCCTCCACTAGCCTCGCCCATGGCCAGAACAGGGCCGTGCAGCCCAGGGCACTGTGACCCAGGCAGACCTCACAAGTGCTCCCAAACTATCCTCAGCTTGATGGAGGAGCCTAAAGAGGCTACATGGAACTGGCCCCTCTGTATAGCCCCTCTTCTCAGCAAGTGGCCATGGACTGGATCCTGGTGAACAGCACATAGTACCTGAGCCCATGGGTGCACCTGTCATTAGAGGTGTCCACACGCTTCCATGTGGACTCTGGCTCAGCATGGCATCAGGTAAGTCCCTGATGGACCTCTCAAACCCAGCTTTCAAGAACATTCTAAATGTTTTTTTGCCCTAAAGCCAGGCTGTAGGGCTGACACAACTGCATATGGGCCTGCTGTCCACGCCTCTAGGAAAACTGGTGCACTACAAGTAAATTACATTTACAGACAGGATCCTAGCTTCCAAATGTAGCTCATGGCCTCATTCTACAAACATGAGGGAAACAGTTATTAGTTGTGTAACGACATGAGCCGTCATGAGTCTGGACAATGTAAAAGCATCACTGTAGCCGATGAGACATGAGAAGTAGGGTGGCCGCTTCCCAGTGTGGGGCCAGAGTGTATGTGGGGACAGACAGGCCGGTTATTCCCACCTCCAGTACTCTGATGAGTCAAGCCGGGCTAAAGTCAGAGGCGGACCCTGGAAGAAGGAAAAGCAGACAAATCAACAGCCGGAGTTGGCGGGGGGGGGGGGGG